GGGAAGGTGAGCATCATAGAATGCCAATTTAATAGAAGAAAGTATTCTTGCATTGAGGGAGTAGTTGATTGGAGGCCCAATGTCCTTCTGCTACCTTAATACTAAACCTATAAATATAGGCACATACATCTATTTCCCCATCCTCATATAAATATATTTGCATATGTACATGTCTTTATCTAGACTGGTTTGAGGATTTTATTTATTTATTTTGGTGTGAATATTTGAAATGTTAGGTGTCAAATTGAACTTAAATAAATTCAGATAAAATGTAATATCTGACTGACACCTCTTATTTAAATTATGAACTCTAGGATTTTTATTTAACTATTTATCTTACAAATGAGTCTTCTTCCTCCGACGATAAAGAACCTATTTCAACAACTACATAATTACTCTCTTCTCACCTTCTGAGTCAGCATCTTCAATTACTTATATGTAAACAAGTCAGCGTTATCCCACAACTCTGTTTAAGTTGCTCTGTTCAATTTTTAAAGTTTTTTTTCCGTTTTGTTTTGGATAATTTCTTTTGCTGTGTCTTTAAATTCACTGATCCTTTCTGCTATGTCTAATCCACCATTAATTTCATCTTGTATATCTTTCATCTCAGACTTTGTAGCTGTAGTCTTTATTTTTTATTTGGGTGTTATTAACATAACGTATTTCTTTTTTTTTTTTTTTAACATAACGTATTTCAAGTCACAACTTTTTGAGCCAATGAAATACAGCTGTCATAATTTTTAGTGTTTTTATCTATTAATTTTATCAAAGTAGTTCTGGGTTGCTTGATATTTTTTCCTCCCTTTTTTATTATTGATTATATTTTCCTATTCCTTTGCCTGTGTGGTCTTTTTTCTTAGATTTTTTTTCCCCCCTTAGATTCTATAGTGTGTTATGTGCTAAGGTGCAAACCACAAGTTCAGCAGTTTGAAACCACCAGCTGCTTCTTGGAGAAAAGATGAGGCTTTCTACTTCTGTAAAGCATTATGGTCCCAGAAACCCACAGGGTAGTTCTGGTCACTGTAGGGTCACTTTGAGTCAGAGTGGACTCAATGGAAGTGAGTTTGAGTTTATTTAATCTTGTTCAATTTGTTACATTTATTCCTGTGAATATTCTTAAGGTTTGTTCTGGGATATAACTGTTATTTGAAAGTAATTTGATCCTTTGGGGTCCTGTTTTTAGGGTTTGTTAAGCTGGCTCAGAGTCATGTTTATCCTATCAAGGCAAAACTCAAATCAAACTCACTGTTTTCGAGTAGATTCCAACTCATCGGACAGAGAACTGCCCCAAAACTATTCCTGTGATCTTTCAAGGCTATAAATTGTTATGGCAGCAGACAGCCTCATCTTTCTCCTGGGGAGCAGCTGCTGGGTCCAAACTGCTGCCCTTGCAGTTAGCATCCTAACATAACACCCACCAGGGCACCCTACCAAGGCCAAGAGGCTTGTAAATACTCTACCTGTTGCCCATCGAATAAAGAGATTTCCAGTGTGGCTGGTGAGAACTGGTTTTATTATTATCCAGTCCTGTGTGAAAACAGAGTTCTCTTTCCCCCAGATCTCATATCCATGCGCTTGAGAGGGACCCCTGTCTGGAGTTCTCTCTGAGTTAGCTCTCTTTCCATCATGACTTTATTCTGCAAACCTTAGCTCTCTGGTCTTCCTGCAGAGTCAGCTGCAGCTACAGCTCATGAATTCGGGAAGTCTTCCAGTTCTTACTAGTGCATCTTGGCTGGAAGCAAATGTTGGTTTCATTTTCAATGTTTATATATCTGAAATATTTGGAGTGTGTGGAAAGTAGATCCAGTTTTATCTTTTCGTATTTGGCTTCTTGTTAATTGTAGCATCACTGATTTTTAAAGTCCCCTCATTTTCCTACCTTTCCGTTTTTGGGGGGCTTGAACTGCGCATTTGTATATTTAATTTTCTGTCTTGGATCTGGTGTTTTGTTCTTTTGTTCTTGGTTTATTTAAGTATATTATTTCATTACAAAGATTAAATATTTTAATCTTTTAATATCTGGTAATTCTAGCCCTGTTCTTGGCAGTTGATCTTTCAGGGTTCTTTTTCTCATCTTACTTGTTTATTCTTTCAAATAATACTTTTTTTTTTTTCAAATAATAAATTTTTAACCACCAAGTTATAAATTTAGAGTTGCCTTTTGAAGGTTTATTTCTTAGCTATGAATTTTCTTATGTCTGGATTGTGAAGGATTGAGACTGTTAAGTACAGATCAAGCTGTGACTTTTAGGGAGAAAGGGAGTACTCAAAATAACCACATACTCAACATTACTCTTGACTTCAGTGGAAAGTCAGCAGAGGTAGTTAAACAGAAAGGTCAGAACTAATAAAAGTATGTGAGGTTCTTGCTAGTGGAACCTACACACATACAAATGTGCATGCATGTAATTCAATATTAGCTATAACACAAAAATACATATTTATGTGTAAGCATTTATAAAACTCGGTGTATTTTATCAGTGTTCCATGGCAGTCTCATATTTTAACCTCCTAAACTTCAGAACTTGGAATACGTGACCACTCTTTTTGTACTAGGCAACACTGGACTATGGAATGTATTCTCGGGAAGAAGAGCTCTTAAGAGAAAGAAAACGCATCGGAACAGTTGGGATCGCGTCTTATGATTATCACCAAGAAAGTGGGACATTTCTGTTTCAAGCCGGCAGTGGGATTTACCATGTGAAAGATGGAGGGCCACAAGGGTTTACAGTAAGTTGGTGTGGGTGGTGGTTCGTTACCACCGAGTCGGTTCTCACTCAGGGTGCTCCCATGTGTGCAGAGAACTCTTCCAGGGGGGTTGAAAATAGATGGGCAGTTCTCTCTTCCAAGATAACCTTTGGTGGTTTCAAATCACCAGCCTTGTGGCTGGTAGATGCCTGAACCCTGTGTACTGCCCATGGACTCTTCTTCAATTTGAAGATCCTGCTTGTGAGGTCTTTTTTGGGATACTAAAGGGTTTTTTTTTTGCACCCAAATCAGTATGGTAATTAACAAGCAAATACAAAAAATTGTTTTCCCAACAACTAAAGAAATTTAATAGGAATATTTCCAATGTTTTAAATTGTTAGCCTTTCTAATAGTATTAACATACAACATTTAAAATGCTAACCACACTTACTATAAGAAAACTATAAAATACATTAATTCACATTTGTTTTGTGTAAATGCTGAGGGTTTTATTAAGCAATTATTACCACAAGGCAGTTCATGTTTTGTTACCTTCAAAGTTTAATGTGCCTTAATAAATTATGGTGGATTTTAAATATTTGATTGATTCCATGCAGTTCTTTATGTGCTACTATTAGAACTTTTTAAAATACAGTGGTGATGATTCTGGCTTTATTTTATTTTTATGGGTAAACTACATTGTAAATCTGTAAAATTGTAAATATGTAATAAATAATTAAATATCAAGTAGATAATAATTACCCCTTTGAACAAATTCAGGCAATAAAATGGTTCAGTCTTCCTTTCCTCATCTGTTAACTTTAGCATTCTAATTCATAATGAAAAATAAAAGTCCTTATAAGTTAAGGCATTTGAAAGCATATGTTTTTCTGGGGAATGGTTGTCGTAGTTGGCATTTACCTTGAAATGGTCCTTTGGAAAGGATGCTCACAAACGTGTGTACATTACCTTACTACTTGCCTTAAAATGATTTTTACTTCTCTAGCAACAACCCTTACGACCCAATTTAGTGGAGACTAGTTGTCCTAACATACGGATGGACCCAAAATTATGCCCTGCTGATCCCGACTGGATTGCTTTTATCCATAGCAATGATATTTGGATATCCAACATTGTAACCAGAGAGGAGAGAAGGCTCACCTATGTGCACAACGGTAATTCACGGTTCTTTAAATACATGTTCCTGAAGAAAATTATTTTTGAAATTTATTTTGCTTTTATCTGCACTTTACCATGGAAACAAGCTAGTGGTATTTATGTTTTAAATTCTTAGCTGGATTTGGCTCTGTGGTTAATTCCAAAATTAAAGAGCTTTGGAAACTAAGTTTTCCATTAGTTTCGTATAAAATCTTAGTGGTGGCAAAATGTGACCTGACTTGCCCTGACGATATTTATAAACTTCATCCTACTTAGGGTGCCTGTTCATAAGTTCACTGTCAGAGTATCCGTGTATTTGATTACAGGGTGTTTGAGTCTTCTGCTGGAGATGTTACCTAACACATGGTGGATGTATAATATATGTAAAGCCCTCAAAATTCTGAATTCCAGACATTGTAGACTAAAAAATTAGGAGTAAGGGATTTTGGGTTTGAACTGCACATTCATTTCATACAACATAGGAAATATGAGGGAGCTTTAAAGAGTTCATGGAAAGGATCCATTATTTTTTCATGAACTTTTGGAGCAAAAATAGTAATTAGAGAGTATAAAAATTATTAGCACACACCCACTTGACTAGCTAAAAACAGCAACTGGTAGAACTTCACGCATTGCTATTAGGAGTATACAATAAACCACTTTGGAAAACTGCAGATTTTTATCAGGTTAGACATAGCCTTTCCCATACTACCAAGTCTTTCCACTCCTGGGTATTTTATTCAACAAAAATAAGAATACATATCCACAAAATCCTTGTATGTGAACGCTCATGATGGCATCTGTACTGATAATAAATAGCCCAATTCTGGAAGCAGCTCAGATACATCAGAATAATACTCACTCTTTTCACTTGTGGACCTGTTGGAGTCCAGGTTGTTAGGTGAAATTGGTGTTGTAAGAAAGTGGAATATGACCACATCAGAGCACAAAATGGAGCACAAAATTACATAATTGATAAATCACATCATTATATAGCTTCCAAATTATGTCACTTATAAGTGCCAAACCATTGAGAATTGTGGCCCAGCTAAAATGACACATAACCATTACCATCACAGCTAGAGTTAACTCTCACCACATAACTTTAAAAAAAAAATCATTTTATTGGGGTCTCTTAGGGTCCTTATAACAATCCATACATCAGTTGTATCAAGCACATCTGTACATATGTTGCCATCATCTCCAAAACATTTCCTTTCTACTGAGCCCTTGGTATCAGCTCCTCTTTTTTCCCCTCCCTCACCCTTGTAAACCCTTGATAATTTATAAATTCTTTTAATTTTCATATTTTACACCATCCACTGTCTCCCTTCACCCATATTTCTGTTGTTCTTTCCCCTGGAGGGTGGGGTTTTACGCTGATCATTTAGATTGGTTTCCCCCACCCCCCACCCTCACCTTCCCCTTCCCCTCATGGTATCACTACTCTCATTATTGATGCTGAGAGGTTTATCTGCCCTGGATTCTGTGTGTTGAGAGCTCTTATCTCTCTACCAGTGTACATGCTCTGGTCTAGCCAGATTTGTAAGATAGAACTGCGATCATGATTGTGGTCAGGAAGAAGCATTAAAGAACTAGAGGAATGTTGTATGTTTACCTGGTGCTATACTGCACCCTGGCTGGCTTATCTCTTCCTTATGACCCTTCTGTAAGTGGATGTCTAATTGTCTGCACATGGGCTTTGGATCTCCATTCCTGCCCCTCTGGTTCGCATCAAAATTGTGGTTTGTTTTGGGTCTTCTGATGCCTGCTACCAGATTCCATTGATTTCATGATCATATGGTGTGCTTCTTCATGTGAGCTTTGTTGCTTCCCTGCTAGATGGTCACTTGTTTAACTTCAAGCCTTTAAGACCCAGGTGCTATATCTTGTAATAGCCAGGCACCATCAGCTTTCTTCATCAGCTTATGCACCCATTTTGCCTTCAGCAATCATGTTGGGAAGGTGAGCATCACAGAATACCAGGCTATTAGAACAGTGTGTTCTTGCGTTGAGGGAGGACTTGAGTAGAGGCCCAATCTCCACCTGCTACCTTAATACTTAACCTATAAATATATATATACATAGACCGATATCCCTATTGTTATATATTAATTTATTTACATATGTACATGCCTAAGTTTATACCTCTACAAATGTCTTTTGCCTCCTAGTTCTTTCCTCTATATCCTTTTACTTTCCTCCTGTTCTATCATGCTCCTTCTTCGTTTGACTCTCTACTTCCTCTTGGCTACATTGCATTTAATTGAACCCCCAACCAGACATTTTATGACCTCTTGGCCATTGATTTTAGATCTCTTGTTGTTCCCTGGGTTTGACAACTCCCTTCTTTTCCCCCACCTCCCGTTTCCTCGGAATCATTGGTCCCGTTGTTTTCTCCTTGGAATTGTTTATCCTACGTATTTTATATAGGTAGACATGAAGAAAAAGGAAAAAAGTAGCCTATGAATAGTTCCAGGTCTGTCTGCTGTCCTTTATGAATGTTTTTCTACCGGGTCTGATGCAGTGCCAAGCCCTGCCCCCTACCCGAATCCGAAGTCTATTTTCAGAATTCCTCCAGGCCTTTTTTACTTTGCTCTCCTTGCTGCTCTGTTATACCCCCTTTGTGTTACACCCTGGTATGTGGGGGTGGGGTGGGGTGGGTAGGGGGGTCAGACTGTGCACAGTTTCTGCAATGTGTCTCCAGTGCTGCACCCTGTATTGCTGTGGGTCAGTAAGGGCATATCGTATCTTGCGGTGAGGCCGACCCTATGGTCCTCTCTGCTTTGGCTGCTCCGAGCAAGAATGTAGTCCTGGAAGCTTGGTAGGCCAGGGTGCTGTTCTCTCTCTCTCTCTCTCTCTCATTCTTCTGGGGAGGGAGGTTGATGTACCTGGGATAGGGGCTGACCCGGCCTTGCAGACCTCATTAGTTCACTGCTTCGTGCCTGTATGTTACCCTTAAGACTTGGTGCACCAGGTTGAGGTTTGGTCCCTCGCTCCCTTTCCTGTGGAGACAAAAGCAGTGCTCACTCTGCCTGTTCACCACATATCTTACTTCTAGATATCCATCATTAATTCACAAAATATAAGGGTGGTGGATTTTTTACTATTGTTTTCATTGTAGATGTCTGAAAACAAGATTGTAGATAAGTAAGAAGGTGGTGCATGCCTACTGATGCCTGTAACACTAATAAATCTCAAAAATAACCCAGTTATCGCTGAATAACCTAACTTGTGAAACTTTTACCAAAAGGAATGTTCAAAGTTATTGAAAGTGTTCTGTCTTGATATTGATGTGATTACAAAATTATATATGCATTTGGCAAATTAAGAATTGTAAATTACACAGCATTTGAGAAAGCAAAAGACTTTGGTTGTAATTCTACTTGGAGAGAAGCACACATAGTGCTTTGATTTATAGCTCAGCACTTAAAAAATGGATGCATAATATGTTTATAAATACAAAAACATAGCATGTAGTTTTTTTCATTCAAGTATTGTAAGCATTCCCCTGTGTCACAAAATCTTTATTTTTTTTTTAAAAGTTTCCCTTTCAGATTATTTGCTGAAAATTTAGGGCAAAAAACCCCCAAAACTAAAAGCTACAAGCTGAACTGTTGTGGCAGAATAGGCCTAAGGATTTACTTCTCTGTATAAAAGAATTTTGAGACACTTGACCCTTTACTTAATTATTTTTTCCATGATTCTAGTTAAACAACAAAATAACTAATGATAATGGAATATGTACTGTGACTCAGACTTCATTTTTGTATTATGTGAATTAATTGATTTCGTCTTCCCAGTAACCTTACTAGGTTGGCTGTTATCCCCATTTTCAAATAGAACGCTGCAGTGGAGTGAGATTGGGTGATTTGCTGACAGTGAGAGAGTTAGTAAATGGTGGCGTTCTGATTTGAATTCAGTCCTCATGTCCCTACAGTCCACACTGTGGTACAGTTACGTCTCAAATAAGAAAAGTTTGCCAAACTTCTTTTTATCAGAATAAGACTTTGACATAAATAGACAAACAATCCAAGCAACTAGATTCCGTTTAAATATCACTTTTGTTTTCCACAAGAAATTTTATAAAGACTTACATTTAAAAAAATAAACTCATTGCTGCTTTGAATCTCTGACAAGATCGCTTCTCTGGTGGTCATCGTCCTTCCTTGTCTGTCTAGAGCTGGCCAACCTCGAAGATGATCCGAGATCAGCGGGAGTTGCCACCTTTGTCCTTCAGGAGGAGTTTGATAGGTACTCTGGTTACTGGTGGTGTCCAGAAGCTGAATCAGGTAAGGGGTTTCAAAGTAATATAGATCATTTAAAATATCATGAGATTAACTACCAATTGATTAAGTGCATAGATTCTGTGTTTTGGATAATAGATTCTAAAATTATTGGAGAGTGTATCCTAACACGAGTTACCTGGAGTGTGCAACTTAGATCCCACCAGAATCTGGTGAACACATTCATACTGTGTTCCAGGGCCTTAGAGTCCTCGTCTTCCTTTGCCAGTTTTTCATGTAGAAGTTGGTCTTGATAATGTTGGGTCACCATCGGTGACAAAATTAAAAATATCATACTTGAATAAGTTGATATAAAAGCATATGATTGAGCATGAAAGTCCACATGGACAGATGGCCAAGTCACTGCATGAATGGACACGAGAAAATGGAACAATTCCTCCTCGGTGAATTACAGGCACTTCACTGCTTACAGAGCTTGAGAGTCAGCTCTCTTAAGCTCTTGCTTTCAAACTTTTTGCCCATGACCCAGTAGAATTTGTTTAACATTATGACCATACATATATAATACAGATTTCTTTTTTTATTCAGTTTTATTTGCTTATTTTTAATCATTTTATTAGGGGCTCATACAGCTCTTATCACAATCCATACATACATCAATTGTGTCAAGCACATTTGTACATTCATTGCCCTCATCGTTTTAAAAACATTTTCTCTCCATTTAAGCCCCTGGCATTAGGTCCTTTTTTTTCCCCTCCCTCCCCACTCCCCGCTCCTTCATGAGCCCTTGATGATTTATAAATTATTATTTTGTCATATCTTACCCTGTCCGACGTCTCCCTTCACCCACTTTTCTGTTGTCGGTCCCCCAGGGAGGAGGTCACATGTAGATCCTCTTAATTGGTTCCCCCTTTCCAACCCACCCTCCCAGTATTGCCACTCATACCACTGGTCCTGAAGGGATCATCCTCCCTGGATTCCATGTGTTTCCAGTTCCTATCTGTATCAGTGTACATCTGCTGGCTTAGCCATATTTGTAAGGTAGAATTGGGATCATGATAAGGGGTGGGGGGGAGCATTTAGGAACTAGAGGAAAGTTGTATGTTTCATTGTTGCTACATCGCACCCTGACTGGCTCGTCTCCTCCCCGAGACCCTTCTGTAAGGGGATGTCCAGTGGCCTACAAATGGGCTTTGGGTCTCCAGTCCACACTCCCCACCCCACCCCCTTCACAGTGATAGGATTTTTGGTTCTGATCCCTTTGATACCTCGTGATCATACAGGCTGGTATGCTTCTTCCATGTGGGCTTTGTTGCTTCTCAGCTAGATGGCCGCTTGTTTACCTTCAAGCCTTTAAGACCCCAGATGTTATATTTTTTGATAGCCAGGCACCATCAGCTTTCTTCACCACATTTGCTTATCTACCCTATAATATATATTTCACTGACTTTAATTTTTATGCTGATTAAGACTTCTTAATAGATTTCATAGCAAACAGATGGATTATAACTAGCTATATGAATACTTCATATCCTTCAAATATATATATATTTAAGACATGGCTTGAACTTGGACATTGTAAGATATAAATTTTTGCTATAGTTGTATTTGTTAGAACAAGACTTAAGCAGAAATAGAGAGAGAAACCATTTAAACAACTGGTTTAAATATTTATGTATACATATTCTGTCTTCAGTTTAACTAGTAAAAGTCACTTGGCAGTAAATAACTCATGGTACTGGAAAGGCTAGTTATGTTGTCATATAAAAAGGTACAAATTTTATACATAAATTACTATTTCGACATAGGAAATCTAATACTAAAGAAAATGGTCAGTTAGGATTACTTTTTGGAGTAATTCTTCTAAATCTTCAATATCTAATTTCCTTTGAAGCTCCTAGTGGTGGCAAAATTCTTAGAATCCTGTATGAAGAAAATGATGAATCTGAGGTGGAAATTATTCATGTTACATCCCCTATGTTGGAAACAAGGAGAGCAGATTCATTCCGTTATCCTAAAACAGGTACCGTAGTCATTGGCATTCACATTCACTCATTTCCTCTTTCCAAACAAGATTTTCTCTGCAGTCATCCAAAAGTATAGACAATATTGCTCATTTATAGTCTCGATGAAAAGTGGCTTCTGTCTCCATAATACCTTGGGGTAACCACTAACTGCTCATTTGTTTCACGTAACTGTCCTTGTGTGCTTGACTTCACTCAGCATGACGTCTTCGAGGCGCACATGAGGACTTTCCTCTTGTGGTCAGTGGTGCCGCAGTGAGCAGTAGTCTACATAGGTCTTCCTTTTTTGAGTTGGAATTAACTAGCTAGCAATGGCTTTGGCTTGGGTTTATACATTAAAGTATAAATTGGAGATACTGATCTGAGAACATTGCTCAGTAAAGGCCTAACATACAATATTTATGACCTAAGGGTATAAAGGAGTAATGTGGCAAAATTAATTTCCGTGATTTTGTAGCTAGGTTACTATTGATTTATGTCTCTTTCTAAAGGCACACCGAATCCGAAAGTCACTTTTAAGATGTCGGAAATAATGGTTGATGCTGCAGGAAGGGTAAGTATAGAATGGTGAGCTGGTGCGTATGTCATTTGACCAATCTTATTAGAGCCTTAGATACACATTTTTTTTTAAAGGTGTCATGGTCATTTATTATACACCATATATTATTTTACACCAATAAGGGGCATTGCAGTAAAAATTAGCCTTGCTTTCACTACAGAAGTCACAAACTAGTCATCGATGTCCTTACACTTTTTTTTTTAAGTCATTGATTTTGCTGAGACATCTGTGGCTCATGATTTTAGAATGACCTAATTTTCTACTTTCAAAACTTCCTCTTGGTCCCCATGACAAGAATGTGGTGTGCATATATGCCACTCCATACCAGTGACTCTTCTTTGCCTTTGTTAATTCTCCAGATCACTTTTTTAAAAAGCACATATATATAAACACAAGGGTTAAGTCAGAAGTGTATACACTGCTGAAGACAGTGTTTGCATCTCTAACCTTTTGCAAAAGAATTCTGTATTTTTCTATTTATACTGCATCAAATCCTTGAGGGACTTAAAATCGTGCTCTTTAAAGTGTTTGTTGATTAGGGGGAACAAAAGTAAGTCTGAAGGAGCAAGATCAGGGCTGTAGGGTGCATGGGGTAAGGCTTTCCAGTGAAATTCTCTTAGGACTTAGGACATACCTTGTTATGAAGAATGAGCAGGTGCATTGCCATAGTAGAAAAATGTCATTGGCACAATTTTCTTGGCCTTTTTTCTCACCAATGCAGTTGTCACTTTTCTTAAAATGTCTTCATAATGAGCCCCTGTGATCATCTTGTATCCTTTGAGAAAATTTATCAAGGTTACCCACTTGAAATCTCCAAAAACGGTAGCCATAACCCCACTGGGCTAACTTTTTGCCTTAACATTTAACATGATCAGCAGAAGGCATGATTCTGATTGGCATGTATTTGAAGGCACCCGAGGAGACTAAGACAAGTGAGAACTTGTCTCTAGCCATCCACTGATCGAAGAGACATGTTTCAAAGAGACATGTTTAAATATGTTTTTTTTAATGTGTTTTGTTAACGTATAAACTGGAATACTATTAGTAGTACTTTTTGACTTACCCTTTTTGTATTTTGTGGTTATTGACTGGTGCATTACCTTCTGTTTTAGATAGGTGTGAGGTGCATTGAATATCCTGTATTTTTCATCTTGTTCTTTTCCATTTGGAAGTTAGATGTTTATAAGCATGAATACAAAGTCTAGCCCTCTTCTCTGCTAGACTTTCAAAGAAAAAAGTTTACTCATCAAGAGCCATTTCATTAATACATTACATGAACATATTTTAGGCTAAGATATAAGGAAATTAGACACTGGCATTTTTTTTAGATACTAGACGTTAAAGTAATGGAAACTTGATTTTCCCAGTTATTAGCAAAGATTCTGTTGTTTATAAGCTCATGAAAGATGTTGACTATTTACACCATTTTTTAGGCATAAGGGCAACTGTATAGATAACTCATTTTAACTGCTAATTTTGCTGTATCATATATGCCTTTTTAAATATCTAGGTCTAAAAATGTGTCTATTACAGATAACAGTTTAAGTCTTGCTACTCATGCTAACTAGATTCCTTTTCTTTTTCCTTTTTGTTTTTTTAAATAGATTGTAGAGGTCATAGATAAGGAACTCATTCAACCATTTGAGATTCTATTTGAAGGAGTGGAATATATCGCCAGAGCGGGATGGACGCCAGAGGGACAATAGTGCGTATGTTAAAGCGTCAGCTCCTTACCGCTGGTCCGAGACGCAGGCATCTGCGCTCTTAGGGATGCCTTACACTTGGAGCTGCTTCACATGCGCAGCATGTTCCTTCTGCACGGGGGTTTTCCTGAACGAAGTAAATTTGTGGATTTGTAATCCTATGAGCATTAGATCTTAATTATTATTACTTTTTTGCTTAGCCATCACAGTTTTGTTGTTATTTATGGTTATATTTTATTACTTTAATTTTTATAGTGAAGCATGTGTGCTTCCTTGTATAGTGTTAGTGGAAGTATACAGGCTGAGGGTGCGCAGTTCTTGACTAATGGAGACAGCACGTTCATGAGACTGGCACCTAGGGCCTAGCACTGAGTGAGTACCAAGGAAGAAAGCCATGCCAAAGGCCACCTGTGGTTTTAGACACTTGAAAACTGTACTTTAAAAAAAGACTTCTCAAAAGGAAGTGCATTTTCATTAACTCTCTGAAAGGGATCATTTAGCATATACTAAAGCAGTTCCTTCTTGGTGATGAAAGAAAGGATTAGTGTCAGAGGAGAGAGTTGAAGAGTATTGTTTGCTTTCTGAGATTTTGCTTTATTTCTGGTACTTCTCTTTTATTTGTGTAAATAGTGCTTGGTCCATCCTACTAGATCGCTCCCAAACTCGCCTGCAGATAGTGCTGATCTCACCTGACCTCTTCATCCCAGTGGAAGATGATGCCCTGGAGCGTCAGAGACTCATGGAGTCGGTGGCTGACTCTGTGACGCCACTGATAATATATGAAGAGACCACAGACATCTGGATAAATGTACGTGCCCTTCCCATGTACTTTTCTCAGAATATTAAAGCAAATTTCGTTTGATAGCAAACGGTCAACATGATTTTTTTTTTTAATCAGAGGAACCATGAATAGTATTTCCTTAGTTAGAATATTTCAAGCCAGAATGTTGGTTTCAGAATGGACTGGTTTCTCAATAGAAAGTAGATTCTGCCTGCAGACTTGTCATTGAACCTGGAAATAACAAATATTGAATGTAGAACCTCGTCATCAGTGCTTCTGAGACAACTTCAAATCAAAGTGTCTAGAAGAGACTTTTGCTTTTAAGTTGGCCAATTGTGTACCAAAATATGCCAATTTAACAGAGAATGATGTTATACAAAGAGACTATTTCTCTAGGAAAAGATCAATTAAGAACATTTTTCCCCCTCATCATTTCTGTAATAGAATTATATTAGTAAGTAAACTATACTCCCTGTTTCAAAGGATTGCAGAGATGGTAAATAAGGAAATACTTCTGGTTGTATTTTTCTTTTTCTCCACTTGGAAACATTTATTTCTCAATGGTGAAATCTTTAGCTAAAATAAGATAATCTGAAAAGTTCAAGCAAAAATCTGAATTGTAACCGTACCGTGGTTACATGGTTGATATTTCTAAGTACGTTTATCAAGGCATTTTTCTTGCTTCACTTAGAGGATCCTTGGTGCATAATGGATGCTTGTTGGTCGTGGTTCCAGCTGCTCCATGGGATAAAGACTAGACTTTCTTCTCCCACAAAGAGGGGCAGCCTCGGACACTTACTGGAACAGTTCTACCCTGTCCTGTAGGGTCACCGATACCTAGCTGAATATTTAGTACTTAGTCGTTGAAATGTATACTAAATAATCTCTTCCTTTTACAGATTCATGACATCTTCTATGTTTTCCCACAAAGTCATGAAGATGAAATTGAGTTTATTTTTGCCTCTGAATGCAAAACAGGTTTCCGTCATTTGTATAAAATCACATCCATTTTGAAGGAGAGCAAATATAAACGATCCAGTGGAGGACTACCAGCCCCAAGTGAGAACTTCTTCATAACATTTGAAAGGAAACAATTATTGAGGGGGTCAGGGTCATGGAACGTCTCTTCTATATACTTTATAAGCCTGCGTTAAGCTTAGATACCTAAGTTAAACTAAAGTATAAATGCATTTGTACAAATTTAGGACAAAATTAAAACAACCAATAAATTATTAACAGTGAGTAATCTTTGAGTAGTGAGATTACTGTTTACTTCCTCTTTTGCCTTGACTGTAATTTTTAATTTGTTTAACGGTAACCCCTTTATTTCATTTTTTTTTTTTAATTTTAAATGTTATATACTTATTACAGATTTTTATATAGTACATGTTTTTCTGGGGGGTTTTTAATCATTTTATTGGGGACTCGTACAACTCTTATACAATCCATACATACATCCATTGTGTCAAGCACATTTGTACATTTGTTGCCCTCATCATTCTCAAAACATTTGCCTTCTACTTGAGCCCTTGCTATCAGCTCCCCATTTTTCCCCTTCCATCCTGCCCCCCCTCCCTCATGAACCCTTGATAATTTATAAAGTATTATTATTTTGTCATGTCTTACACTGTCTGACATCTCCCTTCACCCACTTTTCTATTGTCTGTCCCCCAGGGAGGAGGTTATATGTAGATCCTTGTAATTGGTTCCCCTTTTCTACCCCACCTTCCCTCCACCCTCCCATCACCACTGGTCCTGAAGGGTTCATCTGTCCTGGATTTCCTGTGTTTCCAGTTCCTATCTGTACCAGTGTACATCCTCTGGTCTAGCCATATTTGTAAGGTAGAATTGGGATCATGTTAGTTGGGGCGGTGGGGAGGGGGGGAGGAAGCATTTAGGAACTAGAGGAAAGTTGTATGTTTAATCCTTGGTACACTGCACCCTGACTGACTCATTTCCTCCCCACGACTCTTCTGTAAAGGGATGTCCAGTTGTATACCAATGGGCTTTGGGTTCCCACTCTGCATTGCCCCTCATTCTCAATGATAAAATTTTTTGTTCTTTGATGCCTGATAGCTGATCCTTTGACACCTTGTGATAACACAGGCTGGTGTGCTTCGTCCAAGTGGGCTTTGTTGCTTCTGAGCTAGATGGCCGCTTATTTACCTTCAAGCCTTTAAGACCCCAGAGACTATATCTTTTGATAGCCAGGCACCATCAGCTTTCTTCACCACATTTGCTTATGCACTCGCTTTGTAGTAGATGTTTTTTAAATGCTGCCAGTATCTGCTTTGAAATTAGTTTATAGTTGCAGCCCTTCATATTGATGTAATTTTTTTTAATCAATTTATTGGGGCTCATACAATTCATCACAATACATAGATCAATTGTGTAAAACACATCTATACATTTGTTGCTCTCATTATTCCCAAAATTCGCTTTCCTCTTGGGTTCCCGGAATTAGCTCATTTTCCTTTTTTCCCCTCTCCCTCTTCCTCCTCCCCTCTCCCCCATGCACTCTTGATGATTTATAAATTATTATTGTATCTTATATTACACTGCCCGGCGTCTCCCTTCACCCACCCCTCTGCTGCGTGTCCCCCAGAGAGGAGGTCCCCCCCTGTGATCAATTCCCCCTTACTACACCCCCCTTCCCTCCTGGTATCGCCACTGTCCATATTGATATAATTTTGTTGCCCAAGATAAAATTAAATATTTTGCCAACTGAATTTAATTTCTCTTTGAAAAAATGGTAGTTTTTCTACAAAATGGATGGATAATCCTGGGGGGTGGGGAGTGGTACTTTCGTTTGTTTCTTTGTTTGTCTCAATTATAGTTTTCTACCTTAATAATTGTTTTGGAATTTAAAGACTTTGTAGTAGGTTAAGGAACTCTTGTGATGCTGTCAGTAAGTGTTGGGTTATTAACCACAGGTCAGCAGTTCAAACTCACCAGCTGTTCTTTGGGAGAAAAATGAGGCTGTCTGCTCCCATGTAGATTTGCAAAGCTTCAAAAACTATGCAGGGTAGTTGTGGATCAGAATTGACTTGTTTGCAGTGGATTTGATTTTCTGTGATCATTCAATGGCCACAGAAAAATTCTTTCAGTATTCTTATTGGGGTATCTTCAGGAAAAGGTCCGATCAAAACTGACTTCCAAGATCCATTGGACCAGCTAAATTCAAGGCAAAGAGGGTAGCTCAAAAGATTATGGTGACTGTTTTTGAGGACTTCAAAGGGGTGAAGGTGATCTTGATAGACTTTTGAAAAGGCAAAGGACAATCACAAGGGCTTATTTTGAAGAAGCTCTTGAAAAACAAAATATTACATTGGTGAGAAAAGGAGCAGGAAAGTTGCACCAAGGGATTTTTCCACCACGACCACGCACCTGCTCGTTCTTCCCAGCGCAGCCCCACCCCTGCTTCTCCTGGTGAGGCGGCGGGGGCCACGCTCCTTCTTTACGGGCTGTCAGGAGAAGTCTGTGGAAAACCTCACTTTGTCCATCCTACAGCCCCTTCAGACTTCTTTGTTCCCAAAATTCAGTATTGAAAAGGAACACAGTTTGTGTCCCTCAAGGGTGCCAGAACTGCCCTTTTAACACGGTGTGAAATCAAGGATGCAGCATTCCTTGGGGGGAGGGTCAGAAACATAATAGACCTGGATGGAAGATAGTAAGATGCAACAGCTTCAAATTTAAAAAAATTTGTCTAGTGAAAGTTTTCATGATAATACAGCAATACTTTTTGACTTGCCCTCATATTATCTGACTGTAAAGTTTATTATTAAAAACTGTTAAAAAAAAAACTTAAATTTTTATATCTAAGAAGAAAAGCTAAACTGAATATGGACCCCTATACCATCTTACCCTCTCCACCTGTCTCCAGCTCCCTTAGCTGTAGATGGCAACAACTAGAAGAGAGTATTTTCAATTTCTAACCTCCTCGACCACTGATAGATCCCCCTCTACCCGGACAGATTCACAGACGGACAGATGGGGCATGTTGGTATTTACTATGGCATTAAAATAAATAAATAAATAAAACTTCCCTGGTGTACTTTTGCAGTATGGAGAATTATATTTTTAATTTTTCTTTGACTTTTAAAGTAGCTTGTTTTATTGCACTTCTAAAATAAAAGCCTTGTCAACACATTTAACTTTGTTTGGCTTGCCAGAGATTTAGGAGTGCAGGTGGATTTGTTTTTGGCTTTGCTGTAGCAATCTGTTTTGCTGATTTCCTTTTATTTGCATGGATTATTCCATTCATTTATTTCAAAGTATTGTGAAGACATTTAAGTTGAATTTGTTTTTAACTGTAAACTTTATTTTTTAATTGAGGTTAATTTCACATGGCAAAATTAACCATTTCTAAGTGAACAATTCTGTAACATCTAAAACAACTGTTTGGTTCCCAAACATTTTTATACCCCTGAAGCATAACTTGGACTGTTTAATAACAGTTGAGTTTTTTGGTTTGGGTGAGTGGGTGGCTGAGTGGGGGAATGGCTCTAGACTACTACTTGTCATTGTTTCATTTGCTTGTGGTCTGGAATAAAGGATTGAATTGGAACTGTCTTTACCTTTAGGTGATTTCAAGTGTCCTGTCAAAGAGGAACTAGCAATTACCAGTGGTGAATGGGAAGTTCTTGGCCGGCATGGATCTAATGTATGTCATTTTGCTCTGCTGATAGATTTGGTCACTAGCTTCTGGGAGTGTGCACTATATAACTTAATATACATAAGATGCTCTTAAAACATTATCAGGGGCTAAAAGAACTCACATTCTTCCACAGAAAGAGTCTTACTTAGTTTAAGTTCTAATTCACACCTGTTATAATGCCCTGGTATTGGAAATTCTGGTTGCTAATAATCATTATTTTCCAATATATTTTTGCTCCTTAATAAGGAAAGGACTGGTCCACTTTTTTTT